AGAAAGATTGCCATGAATTTTCAGGTCGATACTAGGCTTGTTTGATTTTTTTTTGAATTTTTTTAGATTCTAAGGGGTGTGTTTATTTAATTAAAGGGGTGGTTTCCGTGGTCCTATGTCGATGATGTTTTATTTCTAGCTTCAAGGTACCTTGAGAGGGATTGCTGCGAATTTTCAGGTCAATACTAGGCTTGTTTAAATTTTTTCGAATTTTTTAAGATTTTAGAGGGTGTGTTTATTCAAGTAAAGGGGTGGTTCCCGTGGCCCTATGTCCATGATGATTTTATTCAAACTTGAAGGTACCACGAGAGAGATTATTATAAATTTTCAGGTCGATACTAGGCTTGTTTAAATTTATTTGAATTTTTTAAGGTTTTAAAGGGTGTTTATTCAAATAAAGAGGTGCTTCCCGTGGCACTATGTCGATGATGATTTTTTTTCAAGGTTGAAAGTACGACGAGAGAGATTATTATAAATTTTCAGGTCGATACTAGGTTTGTTTGGATTTTTTTGAATTTTTTTTAGATTTTAAGGGGTGTGTTTATTTCAATAAAGGGGTGGTTCCCGTGGCCCAATGTCGATGATGATTTTTTTTAGCTTGAAGGTGTCACGAAAAAGATTGCCACGAATTTTCAGGTCGATACTAGACTTGTTTGAATTTTTTAAGGTTTTAAAGGGTGTTTATTTAAATAAAAGGGTGGTTCCCGTGGCCCTACGTCGATAATGATTTTTTTCTAGCCTTTGGTTAGCACGAGGAAGATTCTCTCGAATTTCTAGGACGTTATTACCCCTGATTATGTTTCTTTGTAGTTTCTACATCTTTACGGGGTGAGTTTATCTAAGTGTAGGGGTTAATTTCGGGTTTGTCAGCAAAATATAATTTTGTCTACCTTTTGGTAACCACAGGTAAGCTATGTGATGATTTCTAGCGAGATACTAGCCAATCCTTGAAAATTTTTTTTTATATTTTCGTTTAAAAAAAAAACGTTTAGAACTTCAGGTAAATCACTCACTTAGGCACTTGCTGTTTTATATTCCAGAAATTACATTAATAAACTTGTATAAATAAATAAATAAAGTTGATGAGCAGTTTTTACATTGTGTTTTAATTGAGATCTTATAGTTTTAACACGTTGGTGACTATTGAGGCAACCATATTTTTTATAAACTCTATACACCCTTTCCTTATCCTTAATCATTCAAATTATTTGGCCATTGTACCAGGGTGGATATGTACGAGAAGGGGTAATCTTTTCTGGAGTGTGCCTTTTAAGAACCAATGTAATTTTATCTACAAAATAATTTGTAGCTATTTCGGGATCACTAAACTAACTAATAAAGTTCCAATCAGTGTGAAGTAGTTCAGAATAAAGAGCAGAATAGTTACTCTTTTTAAAATTAAGTTGCAATATGTCTGCCTTAAAATTAACTGGAAATTGATTATATATGTTATCAAAACTGAGATCAATACCTAAGGATGGGAGATAGCTGTCTTCTTTAGTAATAATTTCAATGGCTTTTGAGACACAACAGTTAATATTAGAAAATATTAAGTCCAATAGTCTGTTTCCTGAATTTAAGAGATTATTGAACTGTACCAGGTCGAAAAAGTTGGAGAGATTAGTAATTAACTTACATTTATGTTTTATTTCTTAAATTAACAAATTAAGGAACATTAAAATCACCTAGCATGATAAAAGTTATGACCCTATAAACATGTAATGAAGGAAATTCACTCGGAAAAGATTTCATAGTCTTCAATGCTACATGATGAAGGAATATATGCAGTTACAACATATATAGATGTCTAGAAGCACATTATTACCAACAGAAAACGAAAAATCCATCAATAAGCAATTTTAACATGAATTGTAACAGTTTGCCCGACTGCTCCCACCACTGGGACAGTACATATTATTTCCCTCCCCTTCCCAGTAGCCAAAAAAGTTTAAAACACAACATGCCACTCTTTACAGTCAGATGAGGGAATATATGGGAAATGTCTGTAAATAACTGTAAAAAATATGTAACATCAAAATTAAATTTTAATAAATAAATGTATTTTAGCACTTTGATGAATTTTAAATAAAACAAACACTAAAGATGTAAAAAATGCATCGGAATGGATATTCAAACGTAGCTTTTACACTCTATACATAAAAGAAGAAAATAATTTAAATCTTTCTTTATTTTTGTCATTTATATTACAGCACTACAATTGACTTACCTAATGGTCTCATTTCAGCATTCTGAGTATAAACCTGAGAAATATCGGATACCCTTCTACACAGAGCATCAATGGGCATTTCGTATCCGTACTTATACTTAAATTGAGCAGCTTCATACCTAGCTCTCTGCACCTGAGATTTACTATCAGCAATCATACCAGTCATAACACATCCAGTGTGTTCTGTGAGCTGGAATAGATGAGTTATTGTACTTGGATCAACTAATTTATCGGGGATCTTCCTCTGGGTCACACATGCTGCAGCATCTGTGCCTCGAACAGCTACTGATGTAGGCCCGGCTTGGTTAATAGCTTTGAATGCGTACTCTACTTGATACAAGCGGCCTTCTGGTGAAAAGATGGTTATGTGTCGATCGAAACCTGCACTGCTTCCTCTAGACATGTTTCTTTAAGCAATAATTAAACACTGATAAAATTCGATTAAAATAAGATGATTTTCAACAATTTTCTGTTGTCACGTTCTGTCAAATGCCAACTGGGAATAAACTGTCATATGTCATATATGACAAAATTCTGTCAAAATAAACGCGTTCAGCAATGGGATCACATACTGGATGGCTTATATGACATAAACCCATGGAGGTATTCAACCTCATTGCATAAACCCTACTCCTAATTTCTAAGGGGAGATTACAGAACGTCTGCAACTTTGCAGATCTGCAAATATGGCGGACTTACATATGCATGTATCAAGTTTTCGTATTCCAAAAAAGATATGCAAATTCGCAATATTTATTGTGGTTTATTACCCCCAACAACACTAAACCCAAATCCATTACTATGTTTAAAAATCTGATGTGTCCAACACATGACTTTCCTATCTAGTTATTATATGCTTTTTCTGGTTATTTTGTAGAACCTATTGCAACACCTCTATAAATATTTACGAGGATAAACTAAATATACATTTTCCACATACATCTACCTCGAAACATTTTTCTATAGATATTCATTGAAAACGAAAATACTGAAAAATTTAAATTTAGCACTTTTCCTACAATTCTTCCATTAAGGTCCAATTTAGAAAAATCATGTATAAACAAAAATTATAGAGATCGATATCGCAAACAACTTTTAGTTTTTTCATTTTCATAAAAATCAGAATTTTGCACATTTTGTCAAATTTCTCGAATATGGACCATTTCAGTAAATTTTGACATAAAACAAAAATTATAGATAATAATATTAGAAGTAACTTTTATTTGAACAATTTTGTTCTCCAAACATAAATAACAGATATAATCCATAAAATATAAAAACGGACTCCCATAAAGTACCCCCCAGATGTTCCGACTTTGTCCAAAATCTAATCAGTTCATTGGAAGCTGGAATAAAGCTTAAGTTTAAAATTTGGTGTTTTTCTGTGTATCGATTCATGAGTTATGGTGGATACAGGCACACAGACACACACACACACACACACACACACACACACACACACACACACACACACACAGACACACACGCACACGCGCGCGCGCACACACACACATCATCGCGAAAATAGTCAAAATGGATTCAGGGGATCTCAAAACGTAAAAATCCTTTGAAAACTCGAGGTCGAAAAAAATCATTATTCCTCTACTTTCCTTATATCTGTATACAGATAGGAAAGTAAATACTCGATAATCTGACACCATGAACTGTATTCAATCAAAAGAAACAGAAGACTTCATGGTTGTAGGATGTTTTAACCTTCTTAAGTGTGGATTTGGATTTAGTGTTGTTAGGGGTAATAAATATTGCGAATTTGCAGATATTTTTTGGATACTTGCATCTGTAAGTCCGCCATATTTGCAGATCTGCAAAGTTGCCGCCATATCTGCAAAGTTGCAGACGTTCTGTAATCTCACCCTAAGCCGATAGGGGTGAAAAAAACGGTCGGTGCGCATGACAATTTGGACGCCAGACTGGCAATTTCGAATGAACTGGAGTGGGGAAGTATGCTTGTCAATAGACTTGAGATGCGACTCTATGGGCGAAGACAGGTTATTTTTCATCTCACTCGGGAGTATTTATATCAACCATTTTCTATTTCACTTTGTTATTGTCTGATCCACCAGCTTGTGGATTGAACAATAACAATGTGAAACAGAAAATGGTTATTATAAATACTCCCGAGTGAGATGAGAAATAAAAATGGCTGCGCCCATAGAGTCGCATCTTGTTCTATTGATACAATATGTACATTGGCTTTCTAACCCACTCCAGTTCATTGGCAATTTCGAGCATTCTACATCATGTTTCCCACGGGCGTACTACGACAAATTATATTATTTTTTATTAATAACGCGCTATTTCAATAATAACTATTATTGGAACAATTGTTTCAGCTGCGTATTAATTAAAAATCATTTTTAAGTGATTTTCTTAAATTAAAAGGTGTCATAGTTGAATAAAATAAGTGTTAAATTTAATTTTGTTTTGATGATCCTTTTTAGAGCATTTCGATACGCACATGTGGGCGCCAAAGTGTCAAATATCACATCGCTATGCAGCTTGATTTTGTTGTTCGGCTTTGTTCTTCCAGTTTAATACATAGTTCCGCGAGTGATACCGATTTGAATATTTAAAAAGATACTTTTAGCGTCTCCCTACCTTATAACTCCATGGAAAAAATTGAGTTAGGAAAAAGAGTTGGCTGCATCGATTACGCTGACTTCCGTCGCAAAGATAAGATTGGAATCGCCCTAATTGAAATTACGGAACCCATCTTTCCTCCAGCTGTTACGTCATTCTGTCAAACTGACACGTCAATAACATGTCAATAATCGAAAATTTTGTAAATCAAAACATTAGTTAGATATTTTACGCATTTAATATTTTAGTTATAGCTCATAAATGCAAATATTTAATGTATTCTAAAGATGGGTACTGATAGAAAAGTATTGAGTGTCAAATTTAATCAAGATCAAGGTAATAATCAAATGTTTTATTCAAAGTTATACTTAATAAATATTTGTGTATTCTTTGTCTAGGATGTTTTACATGCTGCATGGAAAATGGTATTCGCGTTTATAATGTAGAACCGTTAGCAGAAAAAGCACATTATGGTAAAAGAAAATATCTACTTTATTAAGTGGTTGCAGAAATTAAAATTATATTTAAATATTTTTAGATATAGAGACAGTTGGAAGTGTTTCACAATGTGAAATGTTGTTCCGTACTAATGTATTAGCTGTAGTATCCGGAGGATCACGTCCAAAATTCGCTGACAACGTACTTTTAATATATGACGATTTTTTGAAAAAATTTATACTAGATATTACATTTCCCTCATCAATAAGAGCTGTGCGAATGCGTAGAGACAAGTATGTTTTAATTCTGTAACAATGATAACTATTAATATTTGAAAATTTAAAATTTTTTAGGCTTATTGTTGCTTTACTAAACCAAATACATGTGTTCTCATTTCCTACTCCCACTCAGAGATTATTTACGTTAGAAACTAAGGAAAATTATAGAGGTTTATGCGAAGTGAGTCATTTAGCTTCAGCTGAAAAACAAATATTGGTATTTCCTGGACATAAAATTGGAAGTGTGCAGCTAGTGGTATGAATAGTTTATTTATTTATTTCTTTTATTTAGCTAGTTTGCTAATATCACAATATATAAATTTAGTAAAAACATAGATAATTTAGATACAATTAAAACTAACTAAAATTCTATAGGTTGTTACTGTTTTTGGAGAAATATTCATCAATTAAGAAATATGGCACTTTACTGATTTAATTATTCTCTGGAAGTGCGTTTTATTGATATAGACCTTTAAAAAATAGTGAATTTTGTGTTGCACTCTTAACAACTGTTTCAATATAAAAGTTATTTCTGTTCCTTGTTGGATAATTGTGCACATTAGAGTGATATAAGCTTCTCTTTTAGGTACATTTATTTATTTATTATACGGGATAACCCCATTAAAGAAATATATACAATTTACAATATAAAAAGGCGGGTAGAAAATACTATTACTATAACATTACTAAAACAAAGCACAAAAGTGAGTTTTTACAGTAATTAATTAAGGTGAATTTAAATATAAGTTAAGGAACATGTATCACATTTTTACAATTGGTTTTAAATTTTGCTAATCCCATATTAAACATATCTAAATTAAAATTATTCAACATAGACAAGTATCTGTCAATAGGACTGTTGATGCCATAGCTCGTTCTATGAAAGGGTATATTAAATGTTAATGGATATCTCAGTCCAAGGCGAGGGGTAAATACATTGGGAATTCTTGTGTACATCTGTTTGGGAATTCCCGGAAATTCTTAGAAATTCCCGGAAATTCCCAGGTATTCTCAGGAATTCCCAGGTATTCTTGGGAATTCTCAGGTATTCTTAGGAATTCTTAGGTATTCCCAGGAATTCTCAGGTATTCTTTGGCAATTCTCTATAAAAATCTGATGTGTCCAACACATGACTTTCCTATCTAGTTATTACAGGCTTTTTCCAGTTATTTTGTATAATCTAATGTTTAGAGGATGAACTAAATACATAAATTTTCCACACACTTTTTTATATTTGGTGTTTTTTTTCTTTTCCATTTTTAAACTGAAATTCGAAATTTGCAGTTTTCCAAAAATATCTGGAATACGGTTCATTTTAAAAAATTCAAATATTGTACTTTTTGTTAAATTTCTACAATACAGACCATTTAAGAAAAATTATGTATGGCACTAAAGCGAGCACAAAAGTTATAAAAAATGCTATTGCAAAAAACTATGGACAAAAATATTTCTTCTTTAATAATAAATAACTGAAATTCGTTAAAGTAAAAAAATCGACCCCCATAAAGTCCCCCCCCCCAGATGCTTCGACTGTGCCTAAAATTTAGTCAGCTTACCACAGAATGTGTTTAAGCTTAAATTGAAAATTTGGTGTTTTTCTCTTTATCCCTTTTTGAGTTATGTTCAAAATTCGAAATTTTCACTTATCTTCAAATTTCTCAAATACGGGCAATTTTAGGAAAATTATGTGTAAAACAAAAAATATAGAGAATAATTTTGCAAACAACTTTTCTTTAAGGAAGTTTCTTCTGCAAGCGTATATTTAATAAAGTAGAAAAATGACCCTGCATAAAGTACCCCCTAGATTTTCCGACTATGTCCAAAATCTAAACAACTTACTGCAGGGTAGATTAAAGCTTAAGTTTATAATTTGGTGTTTTTCTCTTCATTCGTTTTTGACTTATGTTTAAAATTCCAAATTTTCACTTTTTCTCAAATTTCTTTCACGGCAGGGTGGATTAAAGCTTAAGTTTATAATTTGGTGTTTTTTCCTAATCCTTTCATGAGTTATCGAGTATAAAGAAACACGCGCAAGCACGCTCGCACCCACGCACGCACGTACCCACGCAACCTCGCATCCGCGCACGCATCTACGCACGTACCCACCCATGCACCCACCCTCGAATCCATCCACTCACCCACTCACGCACCTACGCCGAGACCTACGCACACATAGAGGGGAAAGTAAAAAATATTCTCCAAATAACCCTCATAAAGGACAAAAGGAAGGTGCAAAATAAAGTTATTAGAAAAATTAATAACAGTACGAAAATTTTATTTAAAAAAAGTATACTGTAAAAATATTTACCTTAAAAAAACTTCAAATGTTGCTAAACAGTGGATAACGGCAAAATGTTATTTTTGATCGTTGATAAAATTGGACATACAGGGATTTTCAAACATTGTCAATTATAATTAAAATTGTTTAGAATTGAACAATACCTGGAATATATTATCCAAGTATGCAATGGAATATATCTGTTATTTACGATTATAGAAACTATATAGAAACTTCTTCAAATAAAAGTTGTTTAAAATATTATTCTTTATAATTTTTGCCCCATACATAAATATCCTAAAATAGCCTGTATTCGAGAAATTTGAGAAACAGTGAAAATTTTGAACTCAAAAACGGATAGAGAGAAAAACACCAAATTATAAACTTAAGCTTTAATCTACCCTGCGGTGAGCTAAATGTAGTTTGGGCATAGTCGGAACATCTGGGAGGGGGGCATTTTATGGGAAGTCATTTTCCTACTTTATGGAATATATCCATTATTTACGCTTAGAAAAGAAACTTCTTTGGATAAAAATTGTTTGAAATATTATTTTTGTCCCATACATAATTTTCCTAAAATGGCCCGTATTCGAGAAAATTGAGGAATAGTGAAAATTTCGAAATTTTGAACATAACTAAAAAACGGACAAAAGGAAAAACACCAAATTTTTAATTTTAATCTACCCTGCGGTGAGCTGAATATATTTCGGGCATGATCAGAACATCTGGGGGGTACTTTATAGAAGGCCATTTTCCTACTTTATATTTGTTATTTACACTTGGAGAAGAAACTTCTTTGAATAAAAGTTGTTTGCAATATTATTCTCTATAATTTTCGAGATAATTTTGGTTGCATACTTAATCTTATCAAAATGACCCGTATTCGAAAAATTTGAGGAAATGTGAAAATTTCGAATTTTAAATTATATCTCAAAATTGAATAAAGAGAAAAACAACAAATTTTAAACTTAAGCTTAAATACATTCTGTGGTGAGTTGTCTAAATTATGGACATAGTTGAAGCATCTGGGGGTGTTTTATAGGGGGTCGTTTTTTTAATTTAACGAATATCTCCGTTATTTACTATTGGAGAAGAAATTTTTTTGAATAAAAGTTGTTTGCAATATAATTTTCTATAATTTTTGTCCCATACATAATTTTTCTTAAATGTTATTCTTTATATTTTTTGTTATATACATGATTTCCCTAAAATGGACCGTAGTCGAGATATTTGAGATAAACTGCAATTTCGAATTTCAGTTTAAAAACGGAGAAAACACCAAATATAAAAAATGTTTCGAGTAAGATGCATGTGGAAAATGTATTTAGTTCATCCTCTAAACATTTACAGGGATGATACAATAGGTTGTACAAAATAACCGGAAAAAGCCTGTACCTAATAACTAGATAGGAAAGTCATGTATTGGACCCATCAGATTTTTTTCCAAAGTTAAAATTTTTCCCCCACAGTTAATACCTATCTTATCTTTTTATTTCTTATATTTTATCAAAAGTAAAATATGATCTAAAGTGAGGGAAAAAATGCTAATCATTAGTTAATAAATCCGGAACAATTATTTATTTTCCTAATAATTTAAGGACCTCATTAAGGACCTTATTTACTAACTCTAGATAAATCTTTAGAAATACTTGGTTATTCTCATATATTTTTCGGGCATTATCTGGATATACTCAGTTATTCTCTCAGTATTCCAGGTATTTTCTAGGTATTCCCGGGAAGTCTCTAGGTATTCCCGGGAAGTCTCTGGGTATACCCGGGAAGTCTCTGGGTATTCCCAGGAAATTCTCAAGAAGTATCTGGGAATTCTCAGGAATTCCCAGGAATTCTCAGGCATTCCCGGGAATTCTCAGGTATTCCCAGGAATTCTCAGGTATTCCCAGGAATTCTCAGGTATTCTTTATGTTAGGAATTCTTGTGTACACATTTTTTGGATGTGTTTACCCCTCGGTCCAAGGTAATAAGGAACATTTACGCTAATCCCGCTCAAGGACAGTCTACAATTCCATTTAAAATTTTGAATAAAAATACTAAGCCAAATATGTCTCTTCTTTCCCTTAAGGGAGGCAAATTTAATTGACTTTCTATAGCACTATAATCATTATCTGAAATCCTGACATTACTTTTAACTGCACATACTCATAAAAATTTGTGTTGTACCCTTTCCAAAGTATCAGTAGACCTTTCTTCTGTACATTGGAAGTAACCCGTGTTTGATTTAATAAATATAAATTAACGCATTCCATAATAAGAGACTTTGGTTGGCATCCACCTCAAAGTTTCAAGCATTAGATTAATGGAAGTATATTTTGAACAGGATAATATTATTCGCATAGCCCTATTCTGCAGCTTCTGTAGTCAGTTCAACTCATTTTGATTTAGTAAAAAGAGTATTGTAGAGCAATAATTAAAGTGAGGTAGAATTATAGTATTATATATTAGGCGAGTTCGGTCAGTCAGGGGCTGGAGCGGGACAAATTTTAGGGTGCTTTTAAATGACATTTAAGCGTGTTAAACTGTCACTAATCGGACTTAACCTAACGGTAAAAGGGTCGTTTGGAGTTAAAAGTGTTAAAGGAGTTAAAGGAACTTGGCAGACCGAACGCAATGATTATAATACTTTTAGTCCACTGTAATAAGTCAAATGAACTTCTAAATAGGAAATTTAACTTAAATACACTAGTATTGATAACAGTATGAATCTTATCTGCTTGTCAATCATTACCCCTAAATATTTGAATTTTTCTACTAACTGTATAGAATTTCCTCCAATTATTATGTTATATTGTTTATCAACAAATTGTGTATAGTTATAGTTGCTACTTATCAGCATACATGTTGTTTTATTTGTGTTCATTTTCAACAAATTATTGCAACACCATTTATAAACATGTTGCAGTGTTTCATTAACAACTCTTACCAAGTTATCTGAAAAAAGTTGATATTCGTTCATTATTTTTTGAGTTTTAAGAAATGAATCATGAATAAAATGCGAGAGATACCGGTGATAATCCCTATAAAAGAAAATAAAAACTTGCGTGAAATGACTTTCCGGTGACAATCTCCGGCGAGTCGCCACCTTCTT